CCAAAACGACAGCTTGTGGAATGTGCCACTTTATGACGTAATAGTGCGGCTAAACCCTGCCTCCGCAGAAGAAAAGCAATGCCTGCTTCTACATCACTGCCTGTTTAGCCCTGCCCACTGATTCACACATAATAACGAGAGAGTCAAACGCAGCTCTATGCAGAAATCAAACAATAAAGATGCTCCGAAGACAACAAGACGCTGTGCAGTGCCATATTGTGGAAAAATGGTTTTTGCATTGCCTTCCTTCTGATCCTAACATTAGGAAAGAGTGGATGAACTTTATTTTTAAAGGGGTCATGTGACGCTGCTAAAAAGAACATTATTTGGTGTAATGCAATGTGTTTATGCGGTTTAAGGTTAAAAAAACACATTATTTTCCACATACTGTACATTATTGTTTCTCCTCTATGCCCCGCCTTTCTGAAACGCGTCCTTCACGACATGGTAGCGGCAACAACAATACTACAGCGAGAATAAAAGTTACGCCTTCTTTCTTTGTGTGAACATTTGGGCAGCGTTATGCAAATCTTCCCAGATGACGTAGATATGGGGGGGCATGTTAGAACGAGCCGTTTTAGGTAGGTGTGGCTGACTCTTAACTTTTATAAAGAATATCTCTTTGGATTTGAGACTTTAGTCTTTGCAACTTTACAGATCTTCTTTATGAACCAAGAGCTTGTAACACTCCAAAGAGAAAGGAAAAATTTAAATCGCATCATATGACCCCTTTAATGAAGATCCAGACCGCGTCAGTAAGAACTCGGTCCTTAGTTCACTTCATTTTACCACGGATTTGTTTGCAAAGAAAGCACAATTCAAAATCAGGATTTTCAGAAAGATTGAAACTAAAAGACGATGCTGTGCGACTATATTGAATTATCGGACAGTAATGTCGCACCACACAAGTGTGAGTAACTGTTTTTATTACGTGATCACTATTGCTTTGTCTGTTATTACAGATTGTTTGATATATACTGTGTATTTATGCGTTTTAACCTAAATCACAGCAGCCATCTGTGAAGGATGTAGGCTGTCAAACATACACAACTTTTAGCCAATCATAGCAGTGGGCGTTTACTTCTGAGTCTACAATCCGCCACACTGATTCAAACAGAGCGTTTCTATGAGGGGGTCAAAGCAGGACAGAAAATAGCCTATTACTTCTAAATTATGATGCTTTTTGATGTAAAAATCTTACTAACATTGTAAGTGGACCTCAGTGAACAGTACAAAATAATAAAAAAGGCAGTTCATGACCCCTTTAAGTCTGTTTTGAACACTTGAGACAAAACTTGAAACAATTCGTGTTGTTTTCACACAATATTCAGTCAATTAACACGTTTCTAAAATGCTTCAATTTTCTTTTCACACAAGCTTACCCCATACCAAAATTATGGATCTTTCTAATCTTTTTTACAAGTGCTTAAACACAGCATGACAGAAAAGAAGACCTAATGTTCCAAACTTTAAATATAGTGTAAAGCCTCTACTTCTGCATTCAACAGCAGCTCAAAAGTATTGAAAAAAAAATCTCTCTATATACAATATTGTAACAACTGATAAGCATTTTTAAGTACCAGATCACTGAAATATTTAGAAATAGCCGATTCCAGTCTCAGTTGGAGGAATAGTCAGGTGTTGATGCTCTTTGCATTACATCAACATAGAATAAAAAAGACCTCTTTAAATTGGTTTTGTGGATGCAGAACAACACAAAGAATCAGAGAGAGAAAAAATAATGCCTGGGAGAGGGAGAGGAATAGCAGTAGGAAGGAGAGGAGTAGTTGGATCAGAAAAAGGGAGAAGAAGAGGTAGGGGAGAGGAGATAGAATGTGTGCTGGACTGTGCATTTGTGACTTTATCACATAATTCTGTAATTGTGACTTTTTTTCTTGCAATTGTGAATTTATCTCACAATTCTGATAAAGTCTGAATTGCAAGATGTAAACTCGCAATTCCAAGAATAGAAGTCCAAATTGTGAGATAAAAAGGTCACAATTACCATTTTTACTTTTTTATTCTGTGAAGGGAACAAGCTTGCATAGTAAACAAAGGCCATGTATGTTGTATTTTTTGTTGATCACTGGCATCAGCTACCATGGGGGCACCATCATCCAACCCCCACCCACTGGAGAGCAATTTCAATCAAGGTTCCAATTGAATTTCTGCATAGGGGACCCTATTTATTTCTATTGTACATTCTATAAAATAATGACTCATTCAATTTTAGACAGTATGTTGCCAAGAATGAACACATTCAACACTTAAAAATGTAAAATGGGTTTCAGCTGAAGGTAACGAAATTACAAAAAACTATGGATTTTTATATTGTCTATATGCAGGTAGAACTGAAACATGACAAGTAATGCAGTTTTTGTAAAGCCATCAACTGTTAGTATTTTGACAGTCACTGTGCTATGATTGACTATATGTTCCTGTTGGATAGAAAAGTAGTGCTAATGTTTTGACCGAATGGGTTTGCTGTGTTTTGAGTATATATGTAGAAAAAGGTATTCAGCATTTTGAAATGTTGAGTTTGTATTTATTTAACAAAATGTGGTTTTGGCCAGTAAAATAACTATTTGGCTAATTGTGTGATGTAGGTGTGTTGCTGTGTTAAGAGTTTAGAAAAAGTACTTTAAGTATTGGTAAACGCTTGTTAGCAATTGAAAAAAACTCTAAATAAAGCACAATTGGAAATTCCAGTAAGTCTACTGAGCAATAAAAGAGCAACATTTGAGCAAAAAAAAACCTTCTATTTGTATAAAAAGAGCATTGGATCAAAATGCAAAGGTACCAAATATACTGAAGACGTAGAAGGGGATGGACTCTTTCTCCTCTCCGTTCAGCTCTCCTTTGCATTTGTAGGTTCTGTCCTCCAGGGCGGCGGTGTAGCCCATGCTGGGGTTGTACGAACCCTCCACCATTATCTCTGAGTCTTTCTCGTACAGCGTGACGTTTATCGAGGGATCCGTTACCAGACATGGGATCGTGCCTTCCTCTCGCGTCTTAGTCACCATGACATGATCGTTCTCAAGGAACCACACCTCAGGATCTGAGGAGAACAGAATCAGTGAATCAGTGTGTGTGCGAATGAATCAATAAGTGAATGATTGCGTGAGCAAATGAACAACTGAATGTAGGAATCAAATGAATGGATGCAAATAATTCAGTGACTGAACAAATAATTCAAGGTGTTAATAAATGAATGAATGCATGAGAGAGTGAGTGAATGAATGAAAAAATCAATAAATGAATAAATGTTTGACAATAATGAAAGAATAAATGCATGAGTGGATGAACAAAATAATGTGAGAATCAATAAATTAATGAATGTGTGAGTAAATAAATGACTGCATAAGTGAATGAATCAATTAATGTAGGAATCAAGAAATAAGTGAAATAATAAATTAATGTGAGAATTAATGAATGAATGTGTGAGAAAATGTATAAATAAATGTTTCAATGTGAGAATCAATAAATGAATGAATGTGTCATTGAATAAATGAACAAAACCCAGTGTGAGAATGTTCAAATGAATGAATGCATGAGTATATGAACAAATGAATCACCGTGAGAATAAAATAAATGAATGCATGAGGGAATAAACGAACAAATCAATGTGAGAATCAACAAATTAATTAATGCATTAGTGAATAAACAGATAAATCACTGTGAGAATTAAATAAATAAATGCATAAGTGCATGAACAAAAAAATCAATATGAGAAATAATAAATGAATGAATGCATGACTTAATTAAATAAATGTGAGAATTACCAAATGAATGAATGCACAAATAATGTTAGAATCAATAAAGGAATTAATGTACGAGTGAATGAACAAAAGAATCAATGTGAAGACCAATAATTGAATGCACAAGTGAATGAAAGAACAAATGAATGAATATGGAAGTGAGAAAATGGATCAAATAAAATTCACACAACATTAAATCAATGGAAAAATCACAAAAACATTCTAATGTTAAAATGTTCAAATATACAATATCTGTTGTTTTTACATGCACTTTTGAAAACTCGACCTACTAGTAGTCACTCAGAATTAATTAAGCAATTACGCAATTAATTAAGAAATGTATAAATTAAATAGTTTTGAATATTTTCATGAGTTCTTACCAGGCACAAACACAGCCACCTCTCTGGTCTCGTTTGTCCCGTTCTCTAAACACACATAGACGCCCGTTTGTCTCCACGTCACCTGCTCCAGACTGAGAATGCTGGAGGAGGGACTTCGCTTCTCGGTGTGGAACTCCGGAACTTTCTCCTCCCGCTTGAAGCGCCAGGTGACGTTACTCCAGCCAGAGCAGGTGATGCTGAAGGAGGAGTTGATGGAGAGGATGATCTGAGTGACGCTGGGATTGAGCTCCAGACCTGAACTACCCAGAGAGAGCAGGAGCAAACCTGCCCCAAAACCAGCACTGAGATTAATACCACTTCACTCAAACAATACTGCTCTACAATAACTCAAGACGTGCAAAAATAATTTGGGGAAAACAAATGTCAGGGTTCCTCCCTGAGAATTTTGGGAAGAACATTTTACTGTACGTTTTAGAGCATTTAAAATCGCATTCTCGTATATTTTTAAGTTATTTAAGATGAGACACTAGTTTTTTGCATGCATTGTTCAATTTCACGATTTTGGGCTATTTTGCTTCTATAACATGTCAATTCCGACAATATGTCAATGTCAACAATAGTGGAAAGAAAACATTCAAAATAAACATTTAAGTGTTTATTTTACTACATTTTATCTATATGCATCTGTAGATTTCAATTACAATAATCTAATTTCTGTCATGACAACTCTCGGAGGGATTGGCATGGTAATGTACATGACAATGTTAATGTATTTGGTCTTGGCGGAATAGATCTGCTACGCTGCTGCTGCTGCTGCTGCTGCGGCAGAGCAAGTACCGAGACTTGCTACTGCCAATACATCCACAACATGCTGCTGTGAGCATGTAAGAAATATTGCTGCTGCAAATATAACATACATGAAATAACCCC